AAATATGTCTATTTACATATACAAGTATATATAGTTGCTTTGCACAGAAAGCCTGTCAACACCTATAGCAACATTGTATTTAATATTGATTTTATTTATATTTTTAAATTATTTGTTTCACTATAAACATGAAAAATTTAATACTTGTATAATAAACCGAGTTTTAAATCTTCTTTCAACTTAGACCAAGTTAAAAAAGGCTTATGACACCTCATTTTATCTTTGGCTACAAATATAAGGATCAGATCCACAGCCTTTCCTTTAACATTTTTCCTTCTCCCCATTTAAAATCCCTAGTTCACGTCAGCATCATTCTCTCTCAAGCAGCTTCTTAAGCCAAGAGATTTGACTGTTGGGAATACTAGTATATTTGTGATGGTTTCCATGGCTATAATTTCAGCCACCTTAAAAAGCAAAGCTATGGCATATGACGAACCCTCTGCCTCTTCTTGACATCTTCTAAAAGGAAAGCTATATGAGCAGTCATGGCAGGTCAAGGTGCATGGTCTGTGATCTAAATTTTTTTTTCTTTTTGTTCTCTTTCTGTTATTTTTGTGTTGCATTTAATTTGCTTGTATATAGGCAAATGCACACTTTAGTGATAGATAAACAGGTTGTAGTATCTGTTTAGAGCAAAAAGTAGATTTGTCTATCAAGTACCCTCTTTTTTTTTATTTTCTAATGCTCAAGAAATTCTCCACTCTGATGTTTGCTGAAATACATGTTGGGATTTTTTAAAATTTCATCATCTAGTTAGGCTTTCTCTTTTCAGTATAACATAAAAATATTAAATTAAATTAAATTAAATATTATGTTAATAAGAATACATATATGATATAATAATAAAATATTTAATTCCTCAGTATAACTTAAAAAACCTTCCTGAATGGGATATATGTATCTGAGGGGAACAAAAGTCTCTAAAAATAAATCTCTAAGGTAACAGTTTTGACCTCTTTGGCATATGCAATGCTAACCTTCTGCTTCTTATTCTGCCAGGCCTCTCTTAGTGTATGTGAATCATTAGACTGAAAGCAGCAGGGTTAGAAGTGTGCAGATATATATATTTATTTAGGGAGCTGAATGTCAAGCAGTTCCCTCCTCTTAATAGCTGATGATTTTACAAGTCAGACATTTTCCCTAAGCTGTCACTCCGGTTTGGGTTTCACATGAGATCATCTTGGCACTTGCAGTGTTGGCAGGCAGGCTGTGTGCTCTCCTCTTCCTCTTCTGCTGATGTGCCTTCAGCCTACTGATCTGTGGAAGGGAAAGCAGCCATCAAAGGGAAATCCTCATCTTCAGTGCTGCAGTCACTAACTTCTCCAGACACCTCCGCTGCTGCATCTCTTTTGTCTATGTACTCGTGGTAGCCCATTAAGTACTGGCTGGTGTTGTGGGGCGTGCACATCCCTGGCAGGCGGTATCCTGCCAGGTTCATGGGCCGGGGACACGCTCTCGCCTCTCGCCGTAGTGCTGCTGGCAAACGTGAGGTTGTGATCCAGCAGCGCTTCTTTGCATTCCAGAGCAGTTTGCTCTTTTCATCACTGCCACTCTGCTCCCTTGCCTGGTCTTGATGGAGGGGCTCAGTGCATTGTAGTGGTTGTCGCTTCCAATTCCTGCTGCACTTGTGATCCTGCCGCTGTGCCTTCCCAGTCTTCTTCTGCTGTGGTCCATGCACAGGACTACTGTGCTGGCCACCCTGTCTCTCACAGCCATTTGAGGAAGATGCACTGGGGTCCTGCTCCATGAGGTCCTTCTCTCTCTTCTGTTGCCCTCGCTGACCGTCTCCGTTAACGTGCTTTCTGCCCCTGTGCTTCCATTCCTGCTGTTGTCTCCTGCCCCTGCCAGCCCTGTTGCTATACAGGAACACAATGAGCATGTCTTTTGCCTGTACTTGGTGGCCCTGCCTTGGTCTCTTGTCCCTGTCCTCACCTTGCTGTGCCTTCTTGCGCTGCCCAGCAGTGATGGCAGCCAGCAGCATGGCACAGCTGGGGGAGCAGTACGGGGATTGGTTTTCCCTCCAGCCGCGGCCTGGCCCTGCAGCCATGGCCCCATGGCAGGTGCTTACCTGGCAGGCCAGTGAGGGAACCTTGTACCTTGCCCTCTCCATGCTGACACCCTGCTGTCCTGCAGAGGCTCTTCGTGTGGGCACTCTGTGACAGACTGCCGTGCCACCCTGCCTGGAGGAGCCAGCAGTGCGTGTCAGTGACATGGAGCTGGTGACCAGGGCACAGTCCATCGGTCAGTAGGGGGCCCCTCCCATGTGGGCCCTGCAGGCCCAGGCCAGGCCTTGCTGGAACAAATCCGACCTCTGGCTCTGTACCATCACCAGCCCTGACATCATCACCGGCCCTGGGCTGTGCTTCCTTCCAAACACCTCGTGGAACTGAGGGAAAGTTGTCCTGGGCACCTGGTGAAGAAGAGTGTGGAGGGACTAAGTAGCTGTCAGGAGCTGACACAGAAAGTCAGCACCTTCAAAAAGCCTTTCTCACCTCCTGACTCAAAATCCTGTATCCAGCCCTTTGTGTCAGCTGTTGAATGAAATCCTACTTTTTCACCGTGGAAGGTGGAAATATAGATGCTAGTCTTATCTCAAGATTAATTTTCTATACACAGCATATTGGAATAACACCAGGTACAATTTGTATCATCCTTCTTGTCAGCTTTTTGTATTATAGAATAAGAACAAATAAATTACAGAATTACAGAGTGGTTTGGCCTGAAAGGAATCTTAAAGATCATCTAGTTCCAACCTCCCTGCCGTGGGCACATCTTCCACTACACCAGGCTTCTCAAAAACCCCAGCCAGGCCTTGAACACTGCCAGGGATGGGACTAAATAAAATAAAAACTAATATTTTTTTTGAGTGTGTTTGTTATGGTGAGAGAAAAAGCTTTATAGATGACAGCTATGTTGAAGAAGAGTGTCCTCATTTTCATCACACAAAGATAAGGATGGGGTTTTTGGGGCTTTGTTTGTCTTTGGAAGTTCGCACATTTTGTATTGCTGGGAATAGCTGGGTATTTATTGTTTTAGGTTCCCCATCCATCCACTGATACTGTCAGACCAGGCTTATGGTAAGTGATGCATTTAGACCATTTAGACCAGGAACTGTGTTTGTCTTTTGCTGAGAGATATCATCAAGGACTCTGAATTTTTGTACTTAATGATTAGAGCATCTGTATAGTATCACGCCCTACAATAAATTGTTCTGATGGCATTTATAGTCTACTTATTTAAATACAAAAAACCCCCCAACTTTATAAAATAATCGTTTGAAATATGCTACACAAAAAGATTTTCCTCTTTTTTAATTTCCTTTTTTTATTTTTGTTTTCTAGGTTGGTTAAAAAACCCCAAACAAAATACCAAAGCCAACCAAACATCCCCCTCAACAAAAACAAAAGCAAAAATATTTCACATAATCTTCCTTTGTTTTTATCATCAAAGAATTTTCCATTCCTTCAGCTTTCATTAGAGATGAAAGAGAAAAAAATTGGGCACAGGGTTGAGTTTACCAAACAAGTAAAGACAAGCCGTAGTGTCAGGCTTTGGTATGATTTCAAGTGTCACTATTTAACAACACACGATGGCAGTAGCAGTCCATGAAATGATTAGTTGACTCTGTACATGAGTGAAACAAAATCTGCCTAAGGCCTTTTTTTTATAGAGATAGCTATAGTCTTTGCTTATGAATATTGACAGTTCTGAGCCCAGCTCCACAGAGAAATTAATTAAATTAAATTAAAAAAAAAAAAAAAAAGAGGAAGGTTCACAGTCTTTTCTTGATCAGGGTGACCATAGCTGTTATCCCAGGTAGTTTGTGATCCCAAAATCCATGTGAGAAGTGGCAGATTGGTGCTTTCATTAACCACAGTGACTTTTTGGAAAGCTTTCTGGCTTATAATGTTAATTATAGCAAGTTCTGCAGTCATGCCAGTCATTCTTTATCTCCTGGTCATTTTGGGGATCTCCTCAAATCATAGATTTCTCTAGCAGCCCATTTAGCTTATAACACTCCCTTATCTGTGATCAATTTTGAATGAGGTATCAAAGGTGCTTACTGGATAGCCATATTGACTAAGCATATACAACTTTTTTCAAACTGCATTACCACTTCAGTTTCATTGCATCAAGGGAAAGTCTTTTAGACATGTGGCTTAATCCTCACAATTATGAGTTTGATTTAATGTCATTACTTGTCTCCCTGTTGAACCCTGATAGCTTCAGCCTTTCTGCAGAACATATCTTCATGTATTTACTTTTAGGTGAGATATTTACTAGAAAATAGACATTTAACATCAACTCCCTGTAACTTAAAGTAATTACATGGTTGAGATTCTCGTGGTTCTCCCAAGTTGAGTCTGTGGCTGAAGAAGTATTTGTACTGGTCAGTGGATTGTGCTGCTGAGGTAACCCTGTATGCTTCCCAGCTCCAGAACCCAGCAGCAGAAATAGCTAAGTTAACAGGATTTACCAAGAATTTCATCAGCACTACAAAGATAAATTATTGCCACAAAAATATAGATAGATTATGGGAGGGTAATCTGAAGGAAAGATTCTGAAGAAAACATGTTTTTTGGAAGATTGCTAGTACTTTTTCAAAATGAAGGGCTCTTCAAGGAAAGAAGTAGAAAAATAGATATATCTCTGAGAGAATCATATTTAATTAAAATAAAACCCAATAAATAATCAATTGTGTACACAATTTTATTTTTATTTCATTATTTACCATATGATAGTTAGACTTTAATATGTAAAATTATTTAAATTTAGAATTCATACATTAGATTTGAACAATTCAGCAAAAAATTTTGCATTTGCATTGTTTTTGTAGTAAAGTATTTTTCTTGATTTTGCTAAATAACTTGCAGTTGGGTAGATAAGGGATTTGTCTTTCAGCATTTCATAATCTTCTCAGTATCTCAGTAATAAATTCCAATATTAACAGAAATATTTCCCGAATAAATGATGTTTGTAAAAATTCATCTAGGTTAATGTAGCTTAGATGAGGTTACCAACTGGCAAGCGGGGTAGACACATGTAAGCATAAGGTGTTTTGCTCAGGTTGATGGGATTACCATCCAGTCTGATGTCTTCAAGTGCTCTACGCACATAAGTAAAATCTCTCATTTTGCAGAAAGTATCTTCATGCATCTCTTGAATGTTGTTGTTCTAAAAGAAAACAAGCAAACAAGAAAGAAACTATCAAAATAGTTACCTGAAAATGATTTTTTTTACTCTGTAACACCATTTATGGATGTATTTTCAGTGTCTAGAGAGAGACTTGCTTGAACTCAAGAGCCCAGATTGTGGCAGCAAGTCATCAACAGAGAAATCTTCCAATCAGGGGAAAATTTCTTGGGCAATGCAAAACTTCAAAACTAAGTGACTCAAACCGTGTAGTAAAGACAAGTGTTGAAGGAAGAGCCTGGTAGAAGTATAGAACATTCTCATTTCCAGATTACAGTGAAGAGCCATACTAAGACAAATTTGATCCACGATAGGCCAGTCCAAAAATCACAGAAACATAATTATCATCCTGACACCTTAATACGCCTCAGCCTGCAAAGGTACAACTCTGTAATTTGATCTGTGGCAATTTCTTTCCCCCCGGCCCTCTCACATTAGTTTAACTCACACCTGTATATATACTAGCAAAATTGAATGCTTTTGGTTTTATTCGTTTGATTTAAATTGTTCTTACATGCCTTACATTCACTGAGCTTCCATTCTTGAAGCTAACCATTCTTAACAATGAATTGCTGGAATAAAGCATTCCAGGAATGCTTTGTCCATTGTCAGGAAACTGGGGACTAAAAAGCTCATTACCTAAAATGAGGGCTGAAAATTTTTTCCTTCTCTATTCCTTTGCTAGTGAAAAATTGGTGTAGACAAAGTCTTGCTCACTAACTTTTTTCTGTAGGACATAGCACTGAATATTTAATTTACAGGCACAAACAGGTGAAAAGGAAGTCAGCTAGCAGGCAGAGAGTTTCAGTAAATTTACTTACTAAAAGTTCTAAGTTAAATGATGTGAGGTACATGACATTGCTTACTGAAATGGGGTTTTTTGTATGATGAAGCAAGTAAAAACATCTGATAAACAAAACTGTAAACTGGTACACGAGAAAATAGAGGGAAAGAAGCAGAGCTGGAAAAGGTTAAAAGGAAGGATTCAGAATGAAACTATTAGATCATAGCAATTCTAGAATTTGATTTTTGAAAAATATTTGGTTTTTTTGTAAAAAAAATTGTATTACAAATTCCGAAAATTAATGCTTAGCTGAACTCAATTTTACTTCTCTAAAAAACTGCAATCACTAGTTAATTTTATGTTTCCCATAGCTTGTTTAGTCAAGTGAGAACACTTTTGGATAAAAAGAAGAAGCACTACAAGACAAATATTTGCCCTTCTGAGTTGTGCATATGCTTTCAGCGTGATATAAAGAGCCATTTCTTTTGTAGCCTACCTGAAGATGAAGAGCTTGTAGGCTTTCAGGGAGTGGCAATGGAATGTGATCCAAGTTATTGTCAGTGATATAAAGATGCTGCAGTTCATCCAGATTCTAGAGGAAAATGGAAGAAAACAGAGGGAAATGAGAGACATATTTGAAAATCTCTGGCAAGTAAGTTTGAAATCTATCACTGCAATGAGCATCACTGGATAGCAAAACATTTTGTTTCAGCATGATATGGTGAAAAGACAGAAATTCATGAATGAACTCTGATTTGCATAGGTTGAGAATGTTGCTGATAAGGGTTAGGTGTTCAGATTAAAATGAAGGGGAAAAATGTTTTTCAGATATCTACAGAATTATTAAAGATGTCATTTTAATGATGATGTTGTTTCCTTTCTTTTGTGACAAGGCTAGTCAATTTTGCAGAAGCATATTGTGTTGAAGCAAATTATAACTGTATAAGAAATGCCTGAGTTAAAAATACATTTCTCATTTCATTTCAAAAGGTAAATAATTTTCTCCCTTGACTTGTTGAAGGAATGAGTGCTGGCAAATCTGGCAGACATTATAGCTAGGCTGCTCACAGTGGTCTTTGAAAGGTCACAGGGATCAGGAGAAGTGCCTGAGGACTGGAGGTAAGCCAGTGTCACCCCTATCTACAAAAAAGGCAAGGTGGATTTATGGAACTACTATTCAGTCAGCTTCACTTCCATCCCTAGAAAGGAGATGGAGCACCTCATTCCAGAGGCCATCTTCATCCCCAGGGATAATAAGAAGGTGATCAGGAGCAGCTAGCATGGATTCACTAAAGGTAAATAATGCTTGACCAACCTGATTGCCTTCTAAAATGAAACAACTACCAGAATGGATGAGGAGAAAACACTGAATATTTTCTACCCTGACTTCAGCAAGGCTTTCAATGCTTTCTGTCATAGTATACTCAGCAAACTCAGGAAGTGTGGAGTGGAAGAGTGGAGAGTGGATTGAGAACTGACTGAACAGCAGATCCCAGAACGATATAATAATCAATGGCACAGTCTAGTGGGAGGTCTGCCAATAATGCTGTCCCTCAAGGCTCAGTGCTGGGCCCAGTATAGTTTAACATGTTCATCAATGACTTGGATGGAGGAACAGATGCCTCCTCAGCAAATTCACTGATGACACAAAGCTGGGAGCAGTAGCTGATACCCCAGAAGGATGTGCAGTGCTCCAGAAGGACCCCAACAGGCCGGAGAGATAGGATGAGAAGAACTGTCTGAAATTCAACAAGGGCAAATGTGCTTTCTGTCATAGTATACTCAGCAAACTCAGGAAGTGTGGAGTGGAAGAGTGGAGAGTGGATTGAGAACTGACTGAACAGCAGATCCCAGAACGATATAATAATCAATGGCACAGTCTAGTGGGAGGTCTGCCAATAATGCTGTCCCTCAAGGCTCAGTGCTGGGCCCAGTATAGTTTAACATGTTCATCAATGACTTGGATGGAGGAACAGATGCCTCCTCAGCAAATTCACTGATGACACAAAGCTGGGAGCAGTAGCTGATACCCCAGAAGGATGTGCAGTGCTCCAGAAGGACCCCAACAGGCCGGAGAGATAGGATGAGAAGAACTGTCTGAAATTCAACAAGGGCAAATGCAGGGTCCTGCACCTGGTAAATAATAACCAGCAGTACAGACTGGGGGGCGGTCTGCTGGAAAGCATCTCTGCAAAGAAGAATCTGGGGGTCGTGGTGGGCAACAAGCTGTCCATAAGCCACCAGTGCCCTTGTGGCCAAGAAAGCCAATGGAGTCCTGGGGTACATTAGGAAGAGCATTGCCAGAAGGTCAAGGGAGGTGATCCTGCCCCTCTGCTCAGCCCTGGTGGAGCACATCGGGGGTGCTGTGCCCACTTCTGGGCTCCTCAGGACAAGAGAGAGGCATGGAGCTCCTTGAGCAGGTCCATTTGAGGCCTACAAAGATGACTGGAGGACTGAAGCATCTCTCTTGTGAGAATAGGCTGCACTTCTAACCACATCCTCTGGAGAGAGGAAGAAAATATTTTCCCATCACACCCAAACTTACTTTAAATGCCTCATTTGGTATCCCTCTGTGACCAAGCCTGTTCTTACTAACATCAATGAATGTTAAGGTAGTTGGTAACTCAGGGAGTTGTCTTATCCTATTGTCACGGAGCACCAACTCCTGAAGTTGGGGCAATCTTCGGAAGGCATCCTTGTGGATATCTGATATGAAGTTTGCAGTCAAATCAATCCTCTTTAAATGGTCTGACAGAGAAATAGGATACAACAGACTTATAAGAATGTATTTCCTGAAATTTAAAAAAAACCCGCCTGTGTCATTCTTTATACATCTTTCAGTGAAAGACTTCAAAGTTGAGTTTTAAGATTTCTGTGTCTTTTGGGAATCTTATAAATTATTACCTTTTGGAAAAATTGCACTAAAAGGAAATAAACTTATGTTTTACTACCTTGTTCCATATTTCCTATATGTAAGAAATTTGATATATTGACTTCTTTATAAAATATACTCAAGCCCTTTTTCCAATTAGAAACCCCCCAAAATTAAATTGAATATTTGGGGAGTTTTATTACTTTTCTAAAGATCAAGTAAAGATCAAGTAAATAGCAAGTAAAAAGATCAATTGTTATTTATAATAATTCAAAAGTTTGACAGAGAATCTGCATCTAATCTATGGAACTTTATGCTCCAAAGTAACAAAATGCATGTGTATTTATGTGTAAAATTTACCATAATCAAACATTACATAAAATATATCACTATATTTTTGGTTGATATGAGCCAGAAATAATCAAAATTAAAGCTTATTTCAATAATACTGCTATCCATACTTAAGTTAGCAAAGTCATTTCTGCTGATCTTCTTGATTCTGTTATAGCGTGAATAGAAATATGTGGTTTTCTTAGGCAATGGCGGAACAGCATGAAGCTCACGATCATCACAGTAGACTGTGGTCCCTAGGCATGTACACAAAAGGCAAGTGGGAAGACCTATCAAGGAATTTAAAAGAAAACACTTTGTTAGAAAGGACATGAATAAAACTCATGCATTAATTACTACAATGAAATGCTCACATAAGCACTTAATGATCAGTCTTTGTCCATGGTAGAGTACACTTCCCATTCTGCTTTGATCACCAAATCATATAATTGCAACACTAAAGTGATTAAATTCTTTTTTTAAATGAACTTGTTTTTCTTCCTGTGCCTAGAACAATTAACTTGTTCTAATAAATTGTTTCTCAGACTATAATAGACTACTTGGTGACAGCAACCAGCCAGAAGTTGATTTCCCCTTAATCTAGCAGGTGTATGCTTCCATCTAGATGGAGGAATAATAGCTGATGAATGATTTTTCTACCTCATCTGTCTCTCTGACACCCTCTTTTTCTTCTCCCCTTTTTATATTTCTTTCTACCCCTCTCTCTCTCTTCCCCTCATATTTACTAATAAATAAAATCCATCCTATTGACTTTGGCATATGGTGTCATTTACATCTTTATTCAGGCAGAGGCATCCCTCTAACAATTTTAATAACTGATTGTAACACTTGTGACACTGACTTTTTGATACATCTTTTATGAGTATATTATGAGTATACATTATGATTATAAATCAGCATATCTGTTTTTCAGTTTTTAATCCCACAGAAATATTTTTCTGTTTCATGTTTTCCTCCTCCTTGTAGCAGATGGGCTGGCTTGCTCTTGTTATTTAGAGAATAGTAGGATAATTCAGGAATGTTAAATTTTTTTCTTGAAGATTAGTTTTTTCTCCAGGTCAGATGTGGTTACATGAGAGATGTACCTTCTTAATCTGCCCCAATTACCTGTAGATTATTGAGGTGCTTTTTGAGGCAAGATTAAAGAATCAGTAACCATAGTACTCTTTCATTTTTATGTGATAATTGCTACTTGGACATCCAGGAATACAATTTCCCAAGAGATAAGGATCTTTTTACGCTTTCCCTAACTTTCTCCACAGGACAGATTAAACTGGATGCAGAGAGTAGGTCTGATACAGGGAAAAAATTGTTCACACTTTGAACTATTCTGACAAATCTAGGCCTGAATGAATATTGAGTTAAGGATGGCTGACATTATTTCATAATATTGCGACATAGTACTATAGTATGGGGAAAGGGTTTCACCCTGTCCTATTTTTGATCTTGGAGGAGTGGTATTTTCCACCTATGTCTGGTGGACACTGAAAAAAAAAACCAGAGGTAGGGGAAGAATTCAAAAATACATCAACAAGAAAAATGCGTTTGGCTTAATGTTACTGAGCCTTGTAGTCTTTTATTCAGTACCAGAAACATAGCTGGTACTGAATATAGCAGCAACATCTTACAGGAAAATAAGTTGCTGAAATAAATGAAGACAAAAGCGAAATCTGATTTGTTACATTACTGTCTTGAGCATTTCTTTAGTTGATGTACTACTTGATTTGCATTCAGTACTCAAAAATATTGACAAATACAGAATTCACCTTATAGAATATTTACAGGATATCATGTAATATCTTCTAATTTTAATTTTTTTTTTCTGGAATATCCTTGGAAGTTCTCATTCCATTTTTATTTGTTTTGACAGTGTATATTTTTGCATGGTCAAGCTCACTTGTAGTACGTACCAAAATAAGACTATGAATTATTAACTTCACTGAATACACAATTTTGGAAGCAGGAACTCTGGGTTTTATGTTTGGGGTTGTTTTGTTTTTGTTTTTGTTTTTTTTTCCACTTAATTTTTCTTCTATGTAACTCAGCTGTAGTATTGGGCATAGTAGAAAGTAGGATTTTCCTGTTACTGTATGTTGATCACCATACAACACAAAGATCCCTCACTGAAACTGATAACTTTAGTGACCTACTATAATTTAGAGGCGCTTCTGACAAATGCCAAAAATTAGCAGTGCAAAATTTGTGTGGGAGAGGAACAGATTATGTTTTGCAAATTTTAATTCCCCAGCAAGATTTAAGCTATTATTTCACTATAGATAGTCAGAAGAACTGGAAATTGTCTCCACTAAAATGTTCTAAGTAACTCCCTTTCCTTAAGTTTTTCTGTTTATAGCTTTCATGGTCAAAAATTCTTCAACATTTTAATTTTAATTTGTATTAACACATTTATGAAAAACATGTAGTAAATCATTATAAGTAAAGACAGTTGATAATGATATTGAAATCTAAGACAGAAATACAAGTACTGGTAGCATTTCCAACCATCAGCAAATTTTCAAGTGGCAAATCTTCTGGAACAACTGGCACAGTTGTTTTCATAGTGAAATAGTATGGAAACCTTTTGACTAGGCACCTATCTGACTTTGGAGGAGAATTCAAGATAGGCATATTGCATCTTTCTTCAGTAAGAGACATACAGAAACTTGTACTTCATTTTCAGTAAAAAAGAAAATAAAATGGACTTGCTCAAAATCAACACTACACACAAAAACATTTCTCTTTCCTACTAACCATCTTGAGTCTGGGGTCCAAGAACCCCTGACCCCTGTGCTGAAGACCCATCAATTAATTTTGGTGTTGATGCTTCATCCTCAGTTTCTTCTGTCAATGGTGCAGAAGAATAACTCTCTTGAATTACAGAATGTAGTTTTGTCCCAATATCTGTCTAGGAAAAATTAAAAGGAATTGTTACTGTTTACTTCCCTTGGAAGCTGTTTCTCTTCCAGTTACTCTTATTCTTCCACTAGAGGTCACACTAAATCACTGAGATTTAGTGCTGGAGCTGTATTTTATCCAGGAGCTATAATGAATTCTGATGATATATAAACAATTCATGAAAACCCAACACACATGTTCACTTTTTGTCTCTGTTTTGTGTTTTTAATGTATGCACACATGCATATAATTCATTACTGAGAATATATTAGCAAAATTATTTTTCCATATTTATTTAAAGATAAATTAGATTTGTGATAAAAATTGACAAACTGTATGTAAAAAAATTAAAATTTGCTGTGAAATAAGAAAAAGGGGGCAAGTTATTTACCATAAAATTGTAAATAGTACCATCATAAATCCAAATCCAATGTAGGTGTGCAGGTTCTACTTAGAACACTAATATGATTTTAAAATATTACTAAATAATTCTGATCTCCAACTTCACATACAACTTTCAAATATGTTAAAGACTATGGTTAACTTCATTCATTAGTAGCTGTATTATGTAGTATGAAAAAATTGATATAGATAAAATATTGGATAAAAACTTGGTTTTAAAACACTTATAAAATTTGGAAGATCCTTGAATGGAACTAGAAAACTTTTTTTTTTTTTTTTTTTTTTTGTCCTTCATTCAACATAACTAATCAAAACAGTAAATTTTGTCAGGTTATCCCTAATTCTAAAAATGCATTCTGTTGATTTTCCTATGTGATGATTCAGGATAAAAATTATGATGTAGCAATTTTCTTGTTTCACATCACTGCACATAAAAAGAGTATTGCAGACTTGCCAGGCTTGTTGCAGAGGGGTCTATGTTAGCAAAGAGGCAGAGTTGTTTTCTGTAATTACCCAGACATAGTTGTGTGATCTTTGCAAGTTACTTTCCCACTGTATCTTCATTTCCCCATGTGCAATAACATTGTTCTGCTGAGCCAGAGCCCCTTTTGAAAGTGCACTCTTTATTCTTTAAATCTAACACAATTAATTAGTATCATTACAGGGTTTTGCATATCTGAGGTGGTGTTAAAAATGTAGGTAATTGTGGAGACCCTGGGGGGCATCCCCTCGGTTAGGGGGACAAGAATCTTCCCCAAAAAGCTGTTAAGACCCCGTTGGCCCCTGTTCCTATGTTTGTTCCTATGTCCCTGAGCCACTCCCTCCCTATTCCCTTATTGGTTCTCATCTTTGTACTGCCCCGAGACCAGGTTCACCTCGAATAGAGAGAAACCTGGACCCGCCATGTGTGTTCCTGGGACCTGAACATCTTACGGGCAGCTGAATAAAACATCTGTGGTTACCATGCAAAGGTCCTTTTTGATTCCTTACCCTGGACTTTACTAGCAGCAATTCAGGCTGCAACAGGTAATGCATTAAACCCTGTGAGTGCTGCGCCCCTGTGCTGCAGTTAGCACTCCTTATCTTTTTCTAAGACACAACCAAATACAGGAATTTTGTCACAGTATCATTCCAAGTGCAAAGGCACCAAAGCCCAAAATTCTGCTTCAGTTTTCATCCACTGCAGTTTTCTAGCACAACACCACCACAAAACTACTGAATCACAAGTCTTTCACCTGACCAAGCACCTCCTTTTTTGACACCATCCCACAGCTACTGCTTTCTTTGCTGTCTTCATGAAGAACCAGTCATTGAAATCAATCACAGTAGTGTTCATAAATTCTAATTGTAAAAGACAGGTAAAAAGTAATTGACTGACCAAACAGTTAGAATTTTTAAAATTTGATTTTGTATGTAGACTATAGAAGTTAAAGGAACTAAAACACCTAACATCTGGATTGCAAGCATAGGCAAGTCTTAGCTTTATTTGCATCTCTCTGTATGTGTATATATTTAATATGTAACCAGCAGCTAAAGGGATGTGATTCTACCCTTCTACTATGTTCTTGTGAGACCCCACCTGCAGTACTACATCCAGCACTGGAGTCTCCAGCACAAGGAGGACATGGGCCTGTGTGGAGCAAGTCCTGAGGAGAGCCAAGAAGCTGAAGACAGACTGAGAGAGTTGGGGTTGTCCAGCCCAGAGAAAAGTAGCTTTTCAGTGCCTTAAAGGGGACCTACAAGAAAGCTGGAGACTTTTTAGAAGGATATGTAGTGATAGGACAAGGGAGAATGGCTTGAAGCTGAAACTTTTATATATTATTAAATTCTTTACTGTGAGGGGGCTGAGGCATTGGAAATGGTTGCACAGAGAAATTATGGATTCCCTTGTTCAAGGCAAGGTTGCATAGGTGGATGGGGCTTTGAGCAATGTGTGGTAGTTCAGTGTCCCTGTCCATGGCATTGGGGTTGGAAGTAGAATATCTTGGTCCCTTCCAACACAAACAATTCTATAATTCTATGACCTTTGAAAATTTTGGAAAAAAAACACTTTACTTCTCATAATAGACTGTCTTGCAGCATAGCTGTATATAATTACTTCAGTATTAAGCATTATGATCCTGGATTGCCTCAGAACATCTAAGTAAATACCTAACATCTAAATTTTTTGTACATAAATAATTTGGTTTAGGTTATATAATGGCAATAGGCTCAAATATTTTATATCAATTAGTTTTGCTGAAGATAGAGAACATGAAAGCAATAAAAAACCAGTAAGCACTCTGAACCACACAGGCTCAGATTTTGACTAAGAACATTTTAGGTTTTCTGTATATTCTTTAGTTGTATTCTACTAAGCCACAGATGCTATTACTAATTAAAGTTTATGGATAAAAATGCCCCAATACAGTTACCAAGGTCATAACCTCACAAAATGCAAGGTAATCAAATGAGCAGGATGACCTTCAGCTGAACTGAGTAGCTTGAGTTGATGTGAGTAAGGATGCACCTTGTCCTTCTGTGCAGACAAATACACAATGTTACCATCTGCAGCATTGACAGTAGACAACTTAACCAGGAATGGACTTGGGGACAAATCAAAAGAAGGCTTTGGGAACAAAGGAAATGGGACAGCTGTTCTCCGAATGGAGGAAGCCTAGAGGGAGAGATACATTCCAGACTTTTATTGACCCAGGTTAGTGCTGCTCTAAAGTTTTTGCACATGCTGTCTACTTCTTCACCAGATTTGTGGAAATCAGATAAGAATCCCTCTTCTGAACTTCAGAATTAAATCCAGAGATTTAAGATCTGTTAATGCCTTTATAGGCAACTTTTGTTCTACTGAAAGTAATATTCTATAGAAGAGTATTTTCAAGATAGGCTTTGTAAATAGGCTTCACACAAAAGATAATTTTCCTTTCACTTGTTATGGGGTTTGGGTCATCTACACTGACTGCCACCTCTCTGCATATTTGGGGCATGTTTTATGGAACTTACTACTACTGATATTTATTTTATGCTTTCTGAGGCTTCTTAGTTGATTAATCACTGCAGCTGTTGGGTAGCAAAGCAGAGGTGTTAACCTCTAGTACTTCCATTTCTACACTGTTATCTCTTTCTTAGGATGTTACCTAGATTTGCAGATACACAGTTGAAAGTCTCCAAGCAGTTTCCCTGCAAATGCACTATGTCTGGGGTTTAGGGAAATTGTTCCAAATAGTTAGCTTTAGCTATTCAGTGTTCTGCAGTTGTGAGTGTCATAAGAAAATAAAAATGATTGATGTTAACTTAATGATGTTGCAATTTTTATGCTTGCAACAGAGTAGGAGTTTATTGATATATATGTTTTACATACCAGACCCAGAGCATGAACAGTATTTTCTTGCTGTACATAACTTGGACTTGAACCAGTGACCTAAAGGTAAAAGTCTGTTTCCCATTATTGGTCATCTGATCCATGCAGCTTTGTATCTTTTACAAGTTTGATAAATCATGCGAGATTGTAACAAGACAAAGATGTTTGTTGGACTATATGCTGTACAGAATAATCTCTCATTTTCCAGATGTTTGTTTATTTTTGGCAAGTGGACTTTAATTAAAAAAAAAAAAAGTTGAAACATAAATGATTGTATAACACTTAATGGCATTATTTTCCATAAGGTTTTTTGGAGGGAGGGGTAGCCTGGAATTAGGCAGGGAGTAGACTTGTATTTCATCTGGAAGAACATTGTAGAGAAATACAATAAAGTGTGTTTCTCCTAGCCAATATCTACAAGTCTTCAAATAATAATCTGCCTTCCAAGACAGTTTTAATACACTGTATAAGAAAAAACTGAAGGGGTATCACATCACCTATCTTTAGCCCTCTGTGTAGTTAATGGTTACCCTACTCTGTCTTTGGAATCAATCAAGAGATTTAGAGAATACCAGTGCAGATTAGTCCCAGAGCATACCAAAGGACAGTGATATCTTTCCTAAGATTGCATGGAGTACCTACTTTTTTCCCCATCCTATATTTATCCAATGTGACCCCATTTTCTAATGAAAGTTCTTAGTGTGGCTAGCCAATTCAGAGGCACTTTCAGACCAAGAAATTACAAAAGTCAAGAATGCAGAAATCAGAACACATAAATGATCAAATGCAATTGGTAAAATCCAACTTGCGACTTGCCATCCATAGGCTGGGAATTTAGTTTATATTAGGATTGCTTCACAGTCAGTACAGAATGAGACAAAACTTCTGAAAAGTAACTCCAGACGTTGGCTACAGAAATTCCTTTTAGGGTGGGCTCTTTAGTTATCTATATCTCACCACTGACAGTAAAAGAGGTGAGACAAACAAAAGACTAGGAGAGGCTCAGGAGATTTTTATGTCTTTTTTATGTGTCTATTTTATGTCTACATCTTTTAGATCAAAGCTCATGTATTACATGTGATAAGTTTAAATCCACAGGAGAATCTGATGTGTGTTCTGTTTCAGTGTTTCTTTTACTGCAAAAAAATACATTTAATTTACAAATAAAAATTCAAAACTTAAAAAGAGGCATTTTAACCTTGAAGGAACAGTCGTTCCACACACTGACCCATCAAAAGGAGCTGGTTTCTCCC